GTAGCTGGGACTACAGGCACGCGCCACTATGCCCAGCTAATTTTTTCTATTTTTTTTTTTTAGTTGTTTGGCCAATTTCTTTCTATTTTTAGTAGAGACAGGGTCTCGCTCTTGCTCAGGCTGGTCTCAAACTCCTGAGCTCAAACGATCCGCCCACCTCGGCCTCCCAGAGTGCTAGGATTACAGGCGTGAGCCACCACGCCTGGCCCGACTTTATCCTTTTTTAAAGAACTGGCTTCTATTTTTTTTATTATAGGACATGATCAAAATTGATTATCTCAGAGATAAAATTGATAAACTCTCACCGGAGACCACCTATTGTTTAAAAGTTAAGGCAAGACTACGTACGCCAAGGAAAGTTGGTGTCTATAGTCCAGTGTATTGTATAAATACCACAGGTAAGGAGGATGTTTTGCTTTAGAGTCAATAACTGTATATATGGATTGGCAATATATTAATTTTGGCACTATTCTCATAGTGCTGAAGTTTATATGATGGTTTAATATTAGGTTATTAAGTATGAAATGTCTGATTTCCTTAAGTACTAAGTTTGACAGTTGATGCCACCAACATTTCACTTTGACACTTCTTGTTTTATTTTTATTGTGAAGGTACATCCTCAGTCTTGCAAACACATGTTTTGGCTTGTCATTATCGTTCAAATTTTTTTTAGAGATATTTTTGTAAAACCATGGAGAAGTCAGAAATTCATGTAATTTTTGAATATGAGTTCTGTCATGGAACCAGTGCAACGCAGACGCCTCAAAATATCAGTGAAGTGTTTGGAAAAGATGTGGCTAATGAATGCACAGTACGTAGATGGTTTGAGAAGTTCTGGTGATTTTAATCTTGAAAATGAGCCACATGGGCGTGCTGAGACCAAGGTAGATAACAATGAGCTGAAAGCTGTAGTAGAAGCAAATCCATCTCAACCTATGCATGAATTAGCAGCAAGGTTTGACATTACTATTCCAACAATATGGGACCATTTGAAACAAAAGGGCAAGGTAAAGAAGCTGGGCAGATGGGTACCACATGAATTAAATGAGCGTCAGAAGAGAAATCATCTCGAAGCTTGCCTTTCTTTGCTGTCACAACATAAAGGCGAACCCTTTCTACACACCGTATTGTTACATGTGATGAAAAATGGATTCTTTTTGACAATCACAAGCCTTCAGCACAATGGTTGGATAAAGATGAAGTGCTGAAACACAGTCCAAAACCAAATAGTCATCAAAAAAAGCTAATGGTGTCTGGTGGTCCAGTGCTGGTATTACCCTCTTCAGCTTCATGAAACTTGGTCAATCCATTATAGCAGATGTGTACTGCAACCAGTTGGACGAAATGATAAGGCTGCTTGTGAGATTGGAAGCAGCTGAGATTGGCCAGTAGAGACAGGCCAATCCTCTTGCAAGACAACGTTCGACCACATGTCATACAAACAATGCTGCTCAAACTACAGAAGCTGGCTTGGAAACTGTCATCCACCGTATTCACCAGACCTTGCACCAACTGACTACCACTCCTTTCAGGCTTTGGACCACTTCCTGCAAGGAAAAATATTCCATTCTCAACAAGCTGTGGGAAACAGCTTTGGCAATTTCATCCTACTTGCTGTCCAGGCTTCTTTGCTGCTGGCATAAACAAGCGACCGTTAAGATGGCAAAACTGTATTGATAATTTAGGCGCATACTTTGATTAATTGTACTGCTGCTTGTTTGAGATATAATCTACAATTTTGATTTGAAATCTGACATTTCATATTTAATGACCTAATAGATATTAAAACAAAAGCAAGATAATAGCATTTACATAAGGCAAAAAAATGATATTTGGGATTTTTGTCTCAAGTAAATAGTAATGAAAATTCTACTTAAAAGTCCAACTATTTTATAATGACAAAAACTGTTTGATTTATTCAGAATCCACAAAAAGGGGGTCGCTAGACTGTGAGTTCTGCAAGGAGGAAAAAGAGTGGGGAGAGGGAGTTGCTAGTAGACTGGTCAGTGTTCCAAAGAGTATAGCTTTGTAAGTGAGACATTAAAAATACGAAAGCATCTGGGGTTATATTCAGTCAGTGACATCTTGCTAATAATTAAGGGCAAGGGTAGGAGGTGGGATTTGGTTATCATTTTAACTATAAATTTAGTATACTGTATTTTTTAAATCAAACAATACAGAAGGGTTTAAAGTCCTCCTACCCCATTACCCCCAATTCTGTTGACCAGAGAGATAAGCATTGCCTAGCAGTTTGTGTATATCCTTTCATACTTATATCAGGGCTTAAATAAGTATATACACAGACTTTCAGTTTTTTTGGTTTTTGGCTTTTAAATTAAAAAATAAGATCCTGCTAGATGTATTTTATGTCTTGTTCATTTACCCCAATGTATTGAGGATATCATTCTGTATCAATATGTACAGATCTAGCACCTTCTTTTAAATAGATGCATAATACTACATTTGTGAATATACACTATAACTTATGTAACTGTTACCTTATAATGATAAAATGTAAGCCTTTGTCTTCTTGCCCATGCTGTTAAGAATTCTTGACACATACTATCTCACTAGAGTAAAAACATATGCTTTTTTATGTATTCTTTGGCTTCCAGCTGAAAATAAACTGCCTCCACCTGAAAATTTAGAAGTTGATGTTAAAGATCAGAGCTATGTTCTTAAATGGGATTACGCATATGCAAACGTGACCTTTCAAGTTCAGTGGCTCCAGTAAGTTCTATGCCATAAAGTTCCCTTTGCCCAGTTTGTTTTGATTATGCTGCTTTTCACTCTACTTCGGCCACCTGCAGCCGCTTGCACACACAATGACTGAGAGGTGGGTATGGCATATTGGAAAACTGGGAAATTTGACTCTAGCCTCTGTTCTGCCAGTAACTAGCTGGATGTCATTGAGCTAGTCACTTAACCTCTGTGAGCCTCAGTTTCTTCACTTGTTTTAAAATAGGTGTATTGTAATAGCTAAAGTTCTTGTGATTCTAGTTTGCATATATTATTTCCTAATCTGAAATACTTGACATTTGAACCTGAGTTTTCTTCAGAACTCATTTCTTCCATGAATCTTTGAAATGATCTCATTCCATTCACTCTGACTTACTCATTTCAAAAAGTTAGCCCTCCCATTTTCTTTATTATTTTAGTGGTTTTGACAACTTTTTTAGTGGTTACTTTAGTGGGGAATTACAGAGATTTGGAGAGAACTGTTTTCTATGTGGCTAAGTAGAGACTAGCCAAATATGAATGAAGTCTAGACACCACATAAACGAGAGAACTGCAAAGAGTTTATAGTGACTGGAAAATTGTAGGGAATAAATAGAAGAGATGAGGAAAATCAAGTGGAAGGAAAAGTGAGTTGTGAGAAGAAGAGTGATGGAAAGAAAGATACATGTTGAGGGCAGAGGAATAGAGGGACCAAAGGAAAGTATAGCTAAGATAGGAAAGGAAGAATGAGAAGAAAGTAGAAGGAAACAGAAAGAATGAGGGAGAAGTCAATACTGCTGTGACCAATTTCTCTCTATCCTTTAGTGTTAACTTTGAACCAAGGGTGGCTGATGGAATGGAAACACGTTCATCTGCATATGTACCCACAGTACCTAGGAAACTTTTCAATATTCTTTTATGTATATACTTCACTGTCAGAACCATGTTAAATTGTAGGGCCACAGAATAGAGAAGGATAATATTTCTAATGGCTGATCTCTAAGTTTCTTTTGGGTCCTTAGCTCACTGTTTAAAGCACTGAAGAGATGTAAAGATACAAAAGAATAAAACATGAGTTCTAGAAATCTGAAGCAGTTAGTTGACATTGCATAACGATGTGTGATTTAGGAATGAGGAGTGGTACACAAATTATAAGTGTCATAGAAATAAAAAATATAAACGTGAATAAGCCAGAGAGACCTTGGAAGGAGATGGGATAACAGTCAAGGCCTTGATTGTTAATTCAGAATTATTTTTAAGTATTCAGATATTAGTTTTCTGTTTAACAAGTTATCACAGACTTAGCAGCTTAAAAAGAGCTGTTTATTATCTCAGTGTCTCTGTGAGTCAGGAGTCCAGGCATGGCTTAGCTGGGGTCCTCTGCAAAGCAATCAAGGTTTCAGTGTCATACAAGACTCGGGGTCCTCTCCCAAGCGCACATGGTCATTGGCAGGATTTATTTCCTATAATGGTAAAGCTCACAGTGGCCTGCTTCTTGGAGGCCATCAGGAGGAAAAGTCTGGCCTCTAAGACCCTCTTTTAAGGGGTTCATCTGATTAGGTCAGACTCACCCTGGCTAGTGTCTCATTTGATTAATTCAGAATCAGCTGATCTGGGGCTTTAATTACATCTGTAAAATCCCTTCCCCTCTGCCATATAAGGGAACCTAATCATGGGAGGAGGGGTGGCCACCATATTTACAAGTCCTGCTCAGGATCGGGGAAGGGGATGTGTCCACCAGGGGGTGAGAATCTTGGGGGCCATCTTTGAATTTTGCCCACCCGAGTGGGGAGAATGTCCTGGAGTAGCAGAACATTTGGGCATGAGGGAGCAATGAGAAAGAAAGTCGAATAAGTAGGACGGAACGAGAATTAGGTTCAGCCTCAGGCTATCCTATAGGCATTTAGGTACTTTTGGGAATTTTGTGTTGGGGGATAGGTAACCTGAGGTCTGTATTTGAGGAAGGTATAAGTGGTGACAATTGTATGGGGGGCAGTCAACAAAGGAGACACTAAAGACAAGGAAACCAGTCAGGGGGTTATTATAGTTCTGAGCTTGAACTAAGATGCTTTTAGCTGTTGGTTTCTGAGCAAGTTACTTAAACTCTCTAGTTGGAGGTGCACATGCTTTGTTTACCCTTGCTGTTATACACCTGTGGGGTAGTTCTCTGTTCTAGCGCTTATCCACTGGTGTGCTGGCACATGGTTAGCAACTGGCTTTCCAGAAAGGAAAAGTCCTATTTGTAGCGTTTGCTGATTTTTGTGATGTAAATGTTCCCACCATGGCCACTTTCAAGCTACCAGCATGATATGCCTAAACATGGAGTTGGGAAGATAAGCACAGAAACGCACCGTTATATAGCGTATCCACCACATAGATACAGCAGACATGAGCAGCCTCAAGAGCATAGGTAATAAAATATACTAAGATAGGACAAGATAAGTTTTGAGTATTTATTACCTTTGTCTTTAATTTTTATTTGAAAGTTTTTATAATTTAATAATTAATAATGCCTTTATTTAAAAACCAGCTTGTGCCTGGGCACGGTGGCTCACTCCTGTAATCGTAGCATTTTGGGAGACCGAGGAGGGAGGATTGCTTGAGGCCAGGATTTTGAGGCCAGCCTGAGCAAGAGTGAGACCCCATCTCTACAAAAAAAGAAAAACTAGCCGGGCCCGGTGATGCGCACCTGTGCGTCCCAGCTACTCAGGAGGCGGAGGCAGGAGGGTCGCTTGAGCCCAGGAGTCGGAGGTTACAGTGAGCTGTGATGATGCCACTGCACTCTAGTCTAAGAGACAAAGCAAGACCCTGTCTCTGAAAAATAAAATAAAAACTAGCTTGCAACGTTCCTGAAAATTTAAGTTGTTTTTGCACATTGGTAAGAATCACCTCTAGCATCCCACTACTTTGTAACAATCTGAAGCAACCTTTGGTTTCCTTTTGTTTTATTTATTTTTTTTATTTTTTTGAGACAGAGTCTCACTCTGTTGCCCGGGCTAGAGTGAGTGCCGTGGCGTCATCACAGCTCACAGCAACCTCAAACTCCTGGGCTCAAGCGATCCTACTGCCTCAGCCTCCCGAGTAGCTGGGACTACAGGCATGTGCCACCGTGCCCAGCTAATTTTTTCTATATATTTTTACTTGTCCAATTAATTTCTTTCTATTTTTAGTAGAGACGGGGTCTCGCTCTTGCTCAGGCTGGTCTCGAATTCCTGAGCTCAAACAATCTGCTCGCCTCGGCCTCCCAGAGTGCTAGGATTATATACAGGCGTGAGCCACCGTGCGGTCTCCTTTTGTTTTAGATACCTATTGTTTATTGTGAGTTTCCTGAGGATGGGTGCGGTTTATTTCAGTAACCTTAGCCCCTAACAACAGTGTCTGGCATGTTGTAAATACTTAACAAATATTTATTGAATTAATATATTTAAATTTTAAAAATGTGTTTTGTCTTAAAAGGGCCTACGTAAGGAAGAATCCTGGGAAACATTCACATGGATGGGAACAAATACTTGGCTGTGAAAATGTCAAAACTACCCAGTGTGTCTTTGCTCAAAATGTTCTCCCAGAAGGAGTTTACTATATCCGTGTACAAGCATCTGATGGAAATAACACATCTCTCTGGTCTAGGGAGAAAAAATTTAACTCTGACATGCAAAGTAAGGCAGTAGTTTTTACTTGAGGTTGTAATTCTCCAGTTTGGTTCTTAAAATTGTTTTTCTACTTGAATATCACATCTTTACACTTTTTTTCCAGCTATTGTACTTCCTCCAGTCATTAACATGAAATCCATTGGTGATTCACTGCGCGTCTACATAGGTGCTCCCAAAGAGGCTGAAAACAAGCCTGTGAACCAGCGTTACCCACTAAGCTATGAAATTATTTTTTGGAAAAACACTTCAAATGTTGAGGTAAAAAAAACTATATAGTATAATTTTGTGACTTAGAGTTATAACTATATTTTGGGTAAGTAAAGCTTGAATTTAAATTCTGGGGAAATTTTTAAACTTTAATACTGTGTGTAAGAGCACATGCACCCTGGGGCCTGAGGCCTTGACCGTAGCTTTCTCCAGAGACCGCAGCCCCCTGGCTCTGCCAAGTCTGGTGTGGGGAGGGCAACATCCCCGTGAGCTATGATGATGCCACTGCACTCTAGCCCGGGCGACAGAGCGAGACTCTGTCTCAAAAAAAAATAAAATGAGGAAACATCAAAATACCTAGCACATTGCTGGACAAATAGCAAAGATTTAATAAACTTTAGTTGCCATCCTATCCTATGCTGGATAATGCATCAAGAATTATTATAATAGCAACTCTTTTACTGAATGTGTATTATGTATCAGATACTGTGCTAAGTATTTTACATGAATTGTCTCAATCGTTCTTCAAAACAAGCCTGCCAAATGGTATGATCAGTTAAATTGCTGCCTGGCAAGCACTTGGGGTAGCGTCTTCACCCCTGCCTCGCTGATGCGGGGCTTGCAGTGGTGGAGCCTGAGTGATGTGCTGTGAGCAGAGCTGTAGTGTGCTCGCAGGGTTGCTTGGATCTTGTGCGCCCGTTTGCCAGGAGCAAAGCATATTGCACATAGTCTCTGGTCCAAGGAGGATGAGACTGGTGGAGCAGACCTAAACGTGACCCACGGCCTGATGGGGGGAGCTCCCCAGCCAATCCGTAGACTTGTGAGTGAGAAACAGAGTTAGGTTTTGAGCCACTGAGTGTTGAGATGGTTTTGTTACACAAGATTGCAGCAACAGCTGACTAGTGCAGATGGGAGCAGTCACTGACCTCGTTTTACAGATGAGGAAATAAGGTGCTGAGAAATTAAATCACTTGCGCGAGGCCACACGGCTGTAAGTGATACCTCCAGGCAATTTGAGGCCAAAACCCCTACTCTTAACCATTTTGTCATGAATCAGAGGTAATATTATACAATGACAATTAAACCAAAGCAGCAGGACTTATAAATTAGAGTTGCCTTAGGAATATATCATATGCTTTTTGGGCCGCAGCATTTTTAACTTTCTGATTTGGTTATAATGGTTATAATTGGATTATAATTGTGGAATGAATTCATATTTCTTAAACACATACCAACTTAGTGTTTGGAAGAGGCCAATCTTAGACTGAATATAAAAGAATTGAGAAAATAGATATTTACTATCTGATTTCATGAGGTGACTAAATTTTATCAATGATTTAATTATTTTTATAGAGAAAATTTCTAGAGAAAAAAACTGATTTTACTATTCCTAACTTGCAACCGCTGACTGTATATTGTGTCAAAGCCAGAGCACACCTTGTGGATGGAAAATGGAATAAAAGCAGTGTTTTTAGTGATACTGTGTGCGAGAAAACAAAACCAGGTCAGACTCTTTTACATCTTTTTTAATGTAACTGGATTTAATAAAAATAATTCAATATTACACGTTGAAAATTATAAAATATGTTCTCTTTACTGCAAAAGATAAATAGAATATTTTCTTCATGAACTATGTGAATCAAATATAGACCTTTAAGCTAAGTCTTTCAGTTTTAGAAAACATTTTTAAGGCTTAATTCAGTGTTTTTTGAATGCTTTATATTTCATTCAGTATCTGTACAATTAATTTCCTTAATTTATTGCTCTTTGACATTTAATAAGACTGTTGGTTTTAAATTTTTATATAATCCTTAACATAATTATCATGTGGAAATCAATTCATTCAACCGAATTTTTTTATGCAGGAATGATTTAGTCTTACTTTGTATTTTACAGTTTCTAGTGTTGACTTGTAGAAACTTAGTTACAGAGTATTTTTTAAATTTCACTAGTTGTAGAGTGCCGAAGAATACTTGCACGTGTGGGTCTGTATGTCAATAACGTATTCTTCCCTAAGCATCTTCCAGGCCCATCGTTAAATGTGAATGCTGTTGCCCACAGTTGTTTTGGACTCAGTGCTACCGGAAATATTTTTAAGGCTATTATTTAATAGATTTTATATCCTTTCATATAGCTAGTCTTTCACACAAGCTGTCAGCACTATTAAAGTATTTGTGTGTCAAGCCATATGTTAATGCTAAACATGATTTATGTCGTTTTAGGAAATACTTCCAAGAGCTGGCTTATAGCTGGAATTTGCACTGCACTATTTGCTGTCGCAGTCATCATTTATGCTATGAAAGTCCTCTGGAAAGGCATCAATTATGTGTTCTTTCCATCACTTAAACCTTCTTCCAGTATAGATGAGGTATGTTACTTTTCTTTGTCAACAGCTAGGAAATGAACAGAAAATGTTTGATTTCAAAAGAATATATAGGTTTTCTTGATATCCAGAAAAAAAATACAGACTGATTTGGGTATTTTTTTCTAAGATTTAGTAAATTAACTTTAGAGACTGTCATTTAATGTAATAACATAGCTTGGGGTGGTAAGGTTTGTCCTTAATCTCACATTTTTCTGGCAATTTATAGACTCATCGTAGCGTTTGTTTTACAACTTAAAGTTTTTATGATTTCTTCACAATACAGACAGTCCCTGACTTACAATAATTTGATTTATAAATTTTCACTTTATGATGGGTTTGTAGGAGTATTAAATGCATTTTCAGCCTACGACGTCTTCAACTTAAAACTGTGGAGTCATTGGGACATAGCCCTGTCGTAAGTCCGGGAGCATCTGTGTGTATACAAAAGACTGAAATATTCTGTCAGTGGATGAAATCGCTGATAGCGTGGAGGTTTTTTATGACACATCACAGTTTTTGTGTAGCACTCCTGTGAAGTTAGCGTGTTTAATGAAAGCACTAAGTGTTGAAGGCTAAGCACAGACTCTGTGCCTGGGGAATGATATGCCACTTAGGGTGAGTTTCTGGCTTACCTTGTGCAAATCAGCTACGGGTAGTTGAGTACCCACCCTTAGGCTATAAAATGGAGCCAATAATACTACCCCATTAGGATGTGGAAATCTTAGGAGGAATTAAAAAAATAATAATAATATTACCCCATGCGTTGTGTAGAACAAAGGAGATAAACTATAAAAATTTTTGTACTCTAAAAGTGCTCAGCAGATATTTACTATTTTACTTTCTTTTTTTTTTTTTTTTTTTTTGAGACAGAGTCTCACTGTGTTGCCCAGGCTAGAGTGCCGTGGCGTCATCCTAGCTCACAGCAACCTCAAACTCCTGGGCTCAGGCGATCCTCCTGCCTCAGCCTCCTGAGTAGCTGGGACTACAGGCATGCGCCACCATGCCCGGCTAATTTTTTCTATGTATTTTTAGTTGTCCGATTAATTTGTTTCTAATTTTAGTAGAGACGGGGTCTTGCTCTTGCTCGGGCTGATTTCGAACTCCTGAGCTCAAACAATCTGCCCGCCTCGGCCTCCCAGAGAGCTAGTGTTTTACTCTTATACCTCTGAATTTTTAAATATCATTCCTATATACTCTAATATTCATAGCTATTGTTTAAATTATAGACTTAAAACTAGCTAGTTCCAATAGCTAATTATTCTTAAACATGAAAAAATTAATTTCTCACTTGTGCTTCTCCCAGATATCTGTGGATTGGATACAAAATTTATTATTATTTCAAATACAATTTTCATAATCCCCAGTGCTGTCCCCCTTTAGTCCTCTCTCATGCTCTTCCACCCCGATTCCTGAGAACACAGTGCACCTTTCTTAGGTGCTCAGATATGAGTGACCTTACCGATGGTTTTATTCTAAACATTACAGTGCATTTGGTATGTTCTTAGTTGGCGTTAATATGCATGTTAAAAGATAGGTTTTCTACATAATGGACATAGACACTAAAGCTATTTTAATTAGAAAACAAATTTTTATTATTTTAAATAACCCATTTCTATTCTTTCCCTGTTTTAAATTAGTATTTCTCTGACCAGCCATTAAAGAATCTTCTGCTTTCAACTTCTGAGGAACAAACTGAAAAATGCATTATAATTGAAAATGTAAACACAGTTACTACGATAGAAGAAACTAATCAAATTGATGAAGATCACAAAAAATACAGTTCCCAAACTAGTGAAGATTCAGGAAACTATTCTAATGAAGATGAAAATAGTGGAAGTAAAACAAGTGAAGAACTTCTAGAACAGGAAACGGTATGACCAGAAATGAAGTCTATAAGCATTAATTAGGTTGTTTTGCAGGAGTTCACTGGGAGCCTGAGCTCCTTGCTCTTCTCAGTAATTATGGAGGAGGATATTTGATTGTTGGGGAAGAAAAAAACATCTTCAGATCATAAGTCCTAACAATACAGGCAAGCACTTAACTACTTAAAAATGAAATTACAGGAGTTGGGAGAAAAGTTCCCTACATTCTTTTCCATGTGTAAAGTCCTGAAAGACCTATCGTCGGTCTTGTCTTCGATGAGATGAGTCAGGTCAAGAAGATGACCACCCATCTTTCTCATGACAGCTTAAGTACCGTGGTGCTAGCTGTGCTCTGTGGCAAAGGATGGTATTTGTGTTCCTGTCACTTGCTGTCATGGGTGCTGCAGCCTACTGCGTGTGTCAGCTGTTTGTTCTTCATTCCCAGTATTACATTTCATTCTTTTTCAAGAGTTATTTAGAACATTTGATCTTTTAATACTGCTGTAGGCCCTGAGGAAGTGTATTTAGGCAAGCCTGGACACTGTTATTACTTGGTTTTCTGAATAGCTTACCCTAGAAAACGGCCACAGATGCTAGAAAGATGATCCTTAAAAATGTTTGGGGAATTCTATCCATTTATCCCAAAACATTGGCTTCTACACCGCAGTTACCTATCCTTCACATGGCCCGGGATGAAAACCAGGTAATCTTTCACTATGCAGTAAGACTTCCTGATTCATAACTTATTAGAACAATAGCTTCTGATTAGAATTTGCAATTACTGAAGTCATAGAAAATGGATAACTATCTGATTAGGGAAGTGATTGTTTTATTTTAAGATCTGAGGGTATGTACAAGTTAGTCAAATTGTATGCAGGAAATATTGGGACCAGAAAATGCCAATGATAGAAGAGTCAGAAAGAAGTAGAATAATTCAACAGGAAAGAAGTGTGACTTTGGTGAAAAAAATAAGAATAATGTATATAATCAACTTTTAATTATTAACCCACTATGTATGTTTGTTCTTATGGCTCATCTGGTCATTTTTAATACTGGCCTGGCTTCTCTATACTGTCTAGCAGTAGTCAGGTAACCCTTCTGCTCAGCCTGCATGCACTCAAGGAAATACAAATTGTTGAATAGCAAGGTGAGAAAAAAACGTAACTAGGAACAAAAACCTAATTTTAAAAATTACGTAATGCTTTCCAAAGGCACCTGTAACTTATTTTTAAATTAGTTGATATTTGGGGTTCTCTCTGGATGTTCTTTATAGGCAGGAAGTCTGGGAATTCTGATGGCCCCTAGGGCAGAATTCTCCCTTCAGTTGTTGCAGCAGGGACCAGTGAAAGAGAAAGAAGATGAAGTTACAGAGCGTGCTGGGGACTGTCCGTCTCTGAGGCCAGTGTCATTTATGTAGTCGTCTCTGCTGAGGTAACAGGGTCATCGCGGAGGGGAAAGGTTGAAAGCAGCAGCCCTTGAGAGGCCAGGACACTTAGCACATCCTGGGCACATACACAGGTCTGCAGACCACACCGTGCGTGTTCCTGGACCTGTCGCCCCAGCGTCCTGAGTCATTCTAGCGGAGAACAATGGGCCACCAAGGAAGCCCAGGGATCTCCTCTGAGACACAGCTCCCAGCTGGAGAGCCTGCAGGGACACCTTTTCATCTTTGTCACCAGAGGCATTTGGCGTGAAGCACATCTGCCGGGTTGGCCTTACGTTTGGAAAGGCCCTGTCACTTTGGAAGTTTGCCTCTTTAGAGACAAGATTGGGAACATGTCATGACTCCCTGCCACCGCTGCCTTTCAGACCGGACCGATTCAGTGATCCTGTCTCGCACTTCCAGGCCTGTGCTCATCGCAGGGCAAAGCTGCTTCAGACGGGACATCTGAAAAGAAACAACGCCATTGTGGGATGTGGAGAAAGGAAAATGCAGGCATTGACATTAAAAGACACCAGTGAAGTTGTTAGGGCACTAAGATAAGCGAACACCGGTCTTGAAGTTTTCAAACCATCTGTGGTTTTCAGCGAACAAGCACCTGAGCAGCAGCAACAAAAAAAAAAAAAAAAGACTTCATTTTTGCCTTGTCTTCTAGACATGAAAAGGCAGTTCCATTCCATCCTTCATTGTGTGCTACGTGTTGCTTGATCAGGATGTGCTCAGTCGTGAGATAAATATTTTTTCTGAACAACAATTTACTTAGAAACACCATGCACTTGGGGGCACCAATAAATTGCCTCAAAATTATAGTATTGGTCATTCTTAGACTAGGTATGATCTAAGAACGTATGTGAAAGACTGTATCATTAGAGCCAGAAATGTTATATTAATATGTAGAACATATTAATGTTCATATGTATGCATTAATATTCATGTGTATATATAAGTGACATGGGCCTGTAAGCACATGCAGATGTATATATGTGTCTGTATATGTACACCTACACACACGCACACACACACACAGTGTGGGCCTTATTCCGTTAGTATGGCCATAAAGTACTTACTAGTATACATTCTAATTAGAAAATTAGAAATGCTGCTCGGAAGTGTGAACTTTAAGTGTATGGCCAGAAATTTGCAATCTCCAAAAAAGTTACTTTAAAAATATGATTTAGAGTTTGTATCTTTCCCCCCAAAAGAGACTGTGACATTTAAAGCAGCCTCAAATTGCTCCTAAGGAGTTGAGGGTGGACGGAAGCGTCCCGCCTCTCCATACCCTCCCTGGTAATCCTATGACTGTCTGACATGTTACGATGTATATTTGTCTTGTTTGGTGTCTGTCTTCCCCCACGCGAGAGTCAGAGGCTCCATGAGAGCAGGGACTTAATTTTGTTCATCACTGTGTCCCCAGCACCTATCAGCGCAGGGCCGTGCACGTAGAAGGTGCTCAGAAAATGATTATTGGATGAATGAAATCTAAAATGTGAAGAAGGGGGTGTTTCTGACAGTGTATGTTTTGTGGGTTGTGTTATAGAAGGACATAGCCATGTTGTCAGTGTTTCTATGCAACAAACTTCATGTTTTATTTTATTTGTGTTTTTGTCTTGAACCCTCCTGCTGTTAATATAAACAATTTTATATAATAAACACTGGGCCTGAAAGTCTTTTTTTGTTGTTGTTGGGGTTTTTTTGTACTTTAATAAATTTTTGTGCAGCAAAGGTGCAGCAGCAGATGCCTTTAAGAGGTATCAACAGAGGGGACTGTTGCCTGTGCCAGATGTTCCAGCGCCCAGTGCTGGGGACCCTGAAGGAGCCGCGATGGCGTTACTGTCCCGCGGGCCCGTGGAGGTAGAGCTTGTTTGCTTTCTCTTCACACTCTCGGGACTGGGTTTCCGTGAAAGTTTGCGGCGGCAATGCATCGCCTTGCTTTCCTCAACTCACCTGCCTTCCCCGTTCCAACGTTACTACGACTCCCCTCGGGATAAGTTCATGCCAAGGAGGTTCCTCAGTCCCCGGTAAATGTCCCTCCCCTGCCATCTGGACACATTTGCTTCAGAAGTTGAACACAATTTGTATTCACGCTGGGAACCCCCTTCTGTTTTTGTTTCTAAGCTTCCTTAAATTCTTTTTCACAAAGACAGGGAAGCAAATATGAATAAACAAGTCATCTCTGATGCCCAAGAAATGCCGTTACTTAGCAGTGATAAAATACCAGCAACTTCCAGTTTTTTCTCGTTACCTTTTTTCTTGGGCTTAGGCTGATTACAGAATTATAAGTCTTGAGGGCAACATAAATATAAGTGGATATTTGCGGTGTGATATTGATATTGATGGAAAATAGCGATATCTTTTCTTCCCCTGAGGGGAGCAAAGGCAAGAAGAGAGAATTTGATAGTGTCTTTCATACAGAGATTATAGAAGTTTCCCACCGTTTCTGTGATCTGTCCCCACTTAGAACTCATGTTCTAGCAGGAAATATTTTGTAAATTAAGAAATGATGAGGGTGAAGAAAGAAAAAGTTGACTGTAGATATTCTGGCTTAGGGGGAAAACAAGGCTTGGGGAGAGAGAGGGAATTGAAAAATTACAGTACTTAATAGCTTAAGTTAAACATTCCTTCTCACGGTGACTCACCACCCCTGCCACCTTTCCCCAGAGTTTTCTGGATCCATCGTCCAGGAAGAAGCTGAGGGAAAATTGAATTTTAAAAATCCTTGTTTTTCTGTCTTTCCAGTAGAAAGCCCATTTTCCCAAAAGTAGTCCTTAAATACATAATAGCATAATGCATTTTTGTGCACTTATTGTCTGTTCCCAAATTTTATAGTGCTTTTAATACTCTAGAATTTTACTTACAGAAAAATTATTATGAGTTTAGTATAAAGGTACATCATTCATGCAAATCTTCCCAAAAGATCTCCACCGTATACACACATAGAAGTCATCTTTGTGCCCCACCTGTATCTGTGTGTGTGTCTAGCATGGTCACCAGGAAGAGATTTCTTTTTTTTAACCTTTGTAGCTGACACTTGGTAATTAAGTGTTTAATAGTGATGCAGTAGGGGCATTGAAGGCACAGACATTGACCAGATTCACCACTAGGGGGCAACAAGACACGCTGGTCAAGCTCACAACTGGCTGCTATTAAGAAATTCTTACGGCCGGGCGCAGTGGCTCACACCTGTAATCCTAGCTCTCTAGGAGGCTGAGGCGGGCTCATTGTTTGAGCTCAGGAATTCCAAACCAGCCTGAGCAAGAGCGAGACCCCGTCTCCACTAAAAATAGAAAGAAATTAATCGGACAACTAAAAATATATAGAAAAAATTAGCTGGGCTTGGTGGTGCGTGTCTGTAGTCCCAGCTACTTGGGAGGCTGAGGCAGTAGGATCGCTTGAGCCCAGGAGTTTGAGGTTGCTGTGAGCTAGGCTAACGCCATGGCACTCTAGCCAGGGCAACACAGTGAGACTCTGTCTCAAAAAAAAAAAAAAGAAATTCTTACGTGGCTGTTGTAAGGAAACGTGAATAAGGCAGTATGTAGCTGAAGAGTGTGTCTATCATTTAAGGTTGCTAGATGTAGCAAATAAAAATACAGAACACCCAGTTAAATTTGAACTAAGTTTGAATATCGGGTAAACAATGTTTTTTTAGCATGTCCCAAATATTGCATGGGACATACCCTATAAGTTTTTGGGGTTTTGTAGAATGCTTTGAATATGCTGGCATTTTACTTATAGAAAGATGTTCATGAATTTTTTAGTATAAAAATATATCATTACCCCTTTGAAATCTTCTAAATTACTTCTACAACATAAACATAGAAGTCATCTTTGTGCTGCATCTGTAATTTCAGATAAACAATTTTTTAGTATATGTCCCATACAAGATTTGGGAGATAGTCTTGTACTAAATTAGTATTCACTCGTTTATCTGAAATTCACACTCAACTGGGTGTCTTGTCTTCTATCTGGCAATCCTAGTAACGTTAAGCCTCAAAAGTACTACTGGGCCCTCCAAGCCCCCAAACCAGTATAAACAATGCCTTATACAGAAATTTATATTGGCTACATTATGCATAACAGGTTGTATTCACAATTTTAAAATGGTTAAGAAAGTTAATATTGTAAACATTCTATAGTCAGAAAAATAAATCCATTGCAATATAGTTCTGTCCTGAGGACAATGAGTTCAGAGAAGCATCCCTGCCCTGTGGGTGTGCAGGCCCTTCTGAGGGGCCGGACCTCTCATCCCCTCTCACTTGGCTCTGATCACATGTTAGTTCATATTTCAATCACTTCTCTGCTTGTCTTCTCTTTCGCAATGGGCATGAGCTCTGTGAGATCAGGAATCGTGTTTATTCATTTCTGGTTCCTCAAGCTAGTTGGTGCCTGGTGTACTGTGAGTAGTTGCTCAATAAAGGGTCTGTTGAATTGAAATGGATTCCAGCCGGCACAATGGCTCACGCCTGTAATCCTAGCACTCTGGGAGGCTGAGGCGGGAGGATCGCTTGAGGTCAGGGGTTGGAAACCAGCCTGAGCAAGAGCAAGATCCTGTCTACTAAAAATAGAAGAAATTAGCCAGGCATGGTGGTGCACACCTGTGGTCCCAGCTACTCTGGAGGCTGAGGCAGGAGGATCATTTGCGCCCAGGAGTTTGAGGCTACAGTGAGCTATGATGACGCCACCACACTCTAACCCAGGTGACAGAGTGAGACTCTGTCTCAAAAAAAAAAAAAAAAAATGGATTCCTTTGAGTTCTTTCCTTGAGATAACTCCCTAGGAGTAGGATCACTTTCTGATGTCCGACCCCGCTGTATTGCATCTATTCGTGTCCATTTCTACTTTGCCAACTGGACTGTGCCCTCTTGAGCCACCTCTTTACCCCCCCAGCACGTACAGTTCTTGATCTCCTACCAAGAAATCAAGACGTTGTGCTGAGCAAATGAACCTCCAAATGCCTCTCCCCCTCCAGGCACATGGACCTGTGGCGCATCTTTTTGCTCAAACCGGAAACCTCTGAGGTGTCCTTGGCTGCTGCTTCCTCACTCCTGATCCAGTCTTTCGGGTCCTGCTCTTCCCATTTTCTAGAAAGTTCTTGGACCCTTTACGTCTACCCCACAGCCCCACCTTGCCCAAGCCTCCATGTTTCCTCACCCGGGTGGCCACACACCAGCTTCCCCTCATCCTTTTCAAGTCATTCTCCTTGCAGAGTAGAGGGATCCTTGCAAGGCAACATGCTGAACACACCAGGTGCCTCCCCCTGCCCTCAGGTCACGCCCCAGATCCCTTCTGTGCTGTCCCACTTGACGCGGTCCCCAGCCCGGCCATCCTGACCTGGCCCGTTCCTGGAGTGTTTTAGGCTCTTCCCCATCTCGGATTCATGGCAAATTCTTCCTGCCTGGAAGCCTCCTCCTTCCTTTCTCCTAGCCAAGTTCTCAACCTCAGTATCTGTGCTTCAGCAAAGCCTTCCCTGCCCCTGGGGACAGCCATCCCCCTCTGACTGGGCCCGGTCCCCCGCCCAGCTGCTGCAGCACCCCCTGCCTCCATGTCACCCTGGAAATGTTTGTTTAGTGGCCTTGGCCCTCCTAGACTATCAGCTCTAAAAAGGCAGGGACTGGTACGGCCTTGTTCACTATGGTGGCCCCAGGACTCAACAGGGTGCCTGGCGTGAAGTAGGTGCTCAGTGCATGTTTTTAAAT